CTATTGGGGATCTGCCAGGAGAATAGCAGAGAAGCCAAGCTATTTGTAGTAGGAAGGCCACTTGTTCATCCCGGCTGCCCAGAACCAAAATAACCATACAGAAACTGTATTAATTAAATCACTGCTTGGCCCATTAGCTCTAGCTTCTTATTAGCTAACTCTTTTTTTTTTTCAAGACAGGGTTTCTCCGTAGCTTTTGGTTCCTATCCTGGAACTAGCTCTTGTAGACCAGGCTGGCCTCGAACTCACAGAGATCTGCCTGCCTCTGCCTCCTATTAATTTGTGTATCGCCAGATCTGCTTTGGGCCAATAGCAGAGCTATAGGGGAACAGAGCTAAGTGGGGAAAACTAAACTGAATGCTGGGAAAAGAAGGGCAGAGTCAGGAGAAGACATGTAACCCCGTTGGAGACAGATGTTGGAAATTTATCCGGTAAGCCACAGCCTCGTGGTGATACACAAATTAATAGAAATGGGTTAAATTCATATGTAAGAGTTAGCCAATAAGCCAGGCAGTGGTGGTGCACGCCTTTAATCCCAGTACTCAGGAGGCAGAGGCAGGCAGATCTAGAGCTAATGGGCCAAGCAGTGATTTAATTAATACAGTTAATTAAATCAGAAATTCACTTGAACATACCCTATCTGTTTCAGGGGCTATTAGATTGTTCCATAACAATGGTGGTCTCCACTTCTTCCTTCTCCTCTTCCTCTGACCCCTCCTTTCCTCCCTTCTTTTTCAATTTTATTTGTTTTTTAAGAGAGGGCATCTCTTTGTAGTTCAGGATACCCCAGACTCGTTATGTAGATCAGGTTGGCCTTGAACAATACGGCAAATCTCCTCAGCCTCTTACATGCTGGTATTGCTGTTAGGTTTCAAACCGGGGACGGATGGACCAGATGCTTATTAAACATGTCAAAGTGGACCTGGCTGCCTTCCTCAGCCCCCCACCTGTAACCCTGGACTCTCCAGCCCTCAGGGCTGGGCTGCTTGTCCCTGTGTAATCCAACCATTTTGGTGGCCTGCTCTCTTTGTAGCTTTGGGCTTCCTGGCTGCTGCACCTGGTTGCCCTCTCTCCGCTCCCTTCCCCTTCTCCCCACATGGCACAGCTCAGTCTGGACATGTCCCCTCTGGACTCTCCCAGATGTCCCTGTCCCTGCCTCTACCTATGCTTTTCCATAGATGTATAGTAACCCTTCTTCTCCATCAATACCTAGGAGCAGTCAAGTTTCCTCTCCTTTTTATTGCTTGTCTTCACTCAATTACAGACAGGCGTTACTAAGTCCAACAGGGTGTCCTGAAAACTCAGCTGTCCTGAAACACACTCTGCAGACCAGGCTGGCCTCAAACTCAGAGACCCACCTGCCTCTGCCTCCTAAGTCCTGGAATTAAAAGCGCGTGCCACCATCACTGGCTACTTCAAACTCGATCCTCCTGCTTTCTGCCTCGCAAGTACTAGAATTATAGGTAAAAATGTGAAAAGAACAAGATTCTACAGAGCTCTATAAAAATTGGTGAATCTCTGTGCGATTATTATATCTAAAACTTCAAAATTCAAAGTATAACTATCTGCACAGTTACTTAGTCAAGTGTGGTTTCCCTATACAGGAGCAGAAAAGACCCAACCAGTCTTTGATGGGTAGTGGAGGGCAGGGGTTGCTATTACAAACAAGCTGCTGGATCACGCTGTCTAACTCAGAAAACATCAGAACAACAGTTAACTTTTTGCTCTTTCCTTTAAAACAAATGAAAACAAAAAATTCCCCAGTATTCATGTTCACAGTGGCTGCCAGCACTCTGCTAATGAACATTTACAATGTCAAGGGACAAAACTGCTGTGTATGATGGAGTACCCTAGTGTAAGGCAGCACTCACAAGTGCGCTTTTAAAGCGAACAAGCTACAGAACAGCCAGATTTGCTCCCTGTCATCTGTAACCAAGGGAAACTGTGAAGAAATGGCTGTAAAGCTACAAGCACACCGCTCTGTTCCCAGGCACTCCCAAGGGCAGGCTCAGGGACTAACCTACTAGACAAAGGGACCCAATTACTTCATATTTGCATGGTGAGTGGGCCCAAGGTTAGACTTCCAGGACATTTTGTTTTGTTTTGTTTTTGCTCTTCGAGACAGGGTTTCTCGTGTGTAACAGCCTTGGCTGTCCTGGAACTCACTCTGTAGATCAGGTTGGCCTCAAACACAGAGATCTGCCTGCCTCTCAAGTGCTGGGATTAAAGGCCTGTGCCACCACCAACCCATGATTTCAGGGACATTTCTACAGTGTTCTGTTACATGACTCAGGGTAACAAGACAGGTGTAAAAGGTACATTAATCTTTTCTGTACTTTTTTTTTTTTTTTTTTTTTTTTTTTTTCCCCAAAGATTGTGGTGAGTTGCCATCTACTGTCCTTACTAAGCACAAGAAGGCTGGACTTTATGGAAAAATCTGTGTGTTAATAGGGTTTCTCTGTAGCTTTGAAGCCTGTCCTGGAACTAGCTCTTGGAGACCAGGCTGGCCTCGAACTCACAGAGATTCACCTGCCTCTGCCTCCCAAATGCTGAGATTAAAGGCATGCGCCACATGCGCCTGTCTTTCTATACTTTCTTACTGCTGATTAAGAGTGCATATTCATGCCAAATTGAAGATTAAAGACCAAGTTATGAGTAAGAGAAACCTGGGGCTAGAGAGAGAGCTCAGGGGTTAAAAGTATCTGTTACTTTAAAAAAAATTATCTATTCTTTATTCTATGCACATTGATGTTTTGCCTGCATATATGTCTGTATGAGGGTGTCAGATCTTAGAGTTACAGAGAGTTGTTAGCTGACATGTAGGTGCTGGGAATTGAACCCAGGACCTCTGGAAGAGCAGTCTTAACCACTGAGCCATCTCTCCAGCCCTCTGCTACTCTTACAATGAACCATGGTTCGGTTCCTAGCACCCACATCTGAGAGCAGGTGACCAAATGCCATTTCAGAAGGGTGGTGCCCAATACCGGAGATGAAGGACTGACACACAGGGAGGGCCAAAGAACCTCCGAACAGACACACACATTCAAGATCCACCATTAAAGATCCCCGTTGGGTGGAGTGCTCAGCGGTAGAGTGCTTGCCTAGTCTGCCTTAGGCCCTGGGTTTAATCCCCAGTACTTTATAAAAACAAATTGCCTTTAATCCCAGCACTCGGGAGGCAGAGACAGGCAGATCTTTGTGAGTTCAAGGCCAGCCTGGTCTACAAGAGCTCCAAAACTCCACAGAGAAACCTAGTCTTGAAAAACAAACAAAACCAAATCCAAAATAAAAACAAACACCCCCCCATCTTTTCTTTCCTAGGGTTTGATAATTCAGAATAATTAGTTGATTAAACTTAAACCTTTTGCTAGTTACAAACCATACTTATGGGTTTTTGGAAGTTATGATGTGGACAACTTTGGAGAGTCATTATTTTGGCTGCTACTCTACTAATAATGGCTTGAATCTTTGGGACATTTGCTCTGTATTGGGCAGGAAGTTTAGAGGTAGGAGCACTTAAGGGTCATCTAGTGGGTTAACTACAGCGTGAGAAAGCACACTTCCCTTCATCTGGTCTCTTGGCTTTCTGTCTCCTTGCTTGTCGTGGTCCAAAGACCAGCCTGCTGCATTTCTAGCATCAACATGTCCAGCTCAGGGGAAAAGGGAAAGGATGGCGTCCTCTATTCTCTTAGCCCTGTTCCCATTCATCTGAGAGCAGAACGTCCTTCCCATAGTCTTTCTAGCCATCATTCTCTGAGACTTGTCGCCATCTAGTGGTAGGGCGATCTTTAAGACTGAGCATCTGGCAAAGGGAATGAAATTGTCCAGAACTGACAGGGGCCCCGTGCATCCCTGAACCCAAAACAAAACCCACATTCTTTGAGGAAGAGAAGGTGAAGTTGGGGATGTCATGGGTGGAGAGCTAGGGGTATCTTGTTGAATAAGTGAATGACACCGGTTGTCATAGGTTGAGACCTATTCCTTGAAAAAGACTTTTGTTGTTGGTGGTGGTGGTTTGGGAAGCAATACAGCATTTCTAGAAACTTAAAAAGCACACTTAAGGGTAGAATTCTAGTCTTCAGTAATGAATTTAACTAAAAAACACATACAAAGCCAGAGCTGGGTATGGTGATGTATCTATACTACGAGGCAAAGGCAGGTGTCTGGGGCCAGTGTGTGCAGAGTTATGAGGAAACCTCTCCCCGCCATACTCTTCAAAAAAATTGGGAACTTCAGGAGTTGTAAACCTTGTGCTTAGCATGAGTGAGTCCCTGAGTTTAATCCTCAACACACACACACACACAAACAACTTTCAGAATTGTGTGTGTGTGTGTGTGTGTGTGTGTGTGTATTAGATAGACAGACCGACAGATAGATATTTTGCTTTTCAAAACCTGCCTTCTCTGAGTAATCCTGGCTGTCCTGGAACTCATTCTGTAGATGATGCTGGCCTCGATCTTAGAGATGCACCTGCTGATTTTGCTCTCAATCCTCCCGCCTTACATGAGTAATCACCAGTGACCGCTGCCATGCTGGGCCTTGGGAGAAGAGCTTGTCTGCATGGGAAGACAGCAAGCAGCACCTGTGCCTCTCAGACAGCTCATGAACTTCATGAAAAATGCTGTCATAGCTAGTCTCGGCTACTCTAGGATGGAGGGTGATGATGCTGCAGAGTTCTGTGTGTGGTGTGAAAAATAGTTCATTTAGCTAGTACAGAGACCAGCTGTAGCTTTGGAGCCTGTCTTGGAACTAGCTCTTGTAGACCAGGCTGGCCTCGAACTCACAGAGATCCACCTGCCTCTGCCTGCCGGGTGCTGGGATTAAAGGTGTGTACCACCACCGCTCTGCTTCTCTTAGCTAGTATTTTAAAACAAATTCAATGCAGAGGCTTTAAAAATAAGGGAATCACACATCTTTAGGTGCAGGTATGTTGGAGTAACCATTTGACTTTTTATCTGGGAATTATTAACTGTGTATGAAGTAAAACATTAACTTTACAGGAAGTGAAGCAGGCTCCCAGCAAGGCAGCAACCTCGCAGACAGAACGGGGAGGAAAATGAAGCTCCCGATTTTCATAGCAGACACGTTCACGGCAACAGCTTTCCAGGGCAATCCTGCTGCCGTCTGCCTCCTGGAAAATGTAAGTACTCGCTTCTCAAGGGCTAGGCCTGAAATTCTAGATGTGTGTAGAGCCCGTGACTTCTGGAAAAGTGAGGCCACCCTGAGTGCTTGCCACTTTGGCTTGTGATCTTTGTTATACCGGTGATGGTCATGTAACAAATAATCAAACAATTATTTTATAAAAGAATGATTGGAGCTCCCCTTCAGAATTAGGTTTTTGTTTAATTAGCACCAAAAACTGAGCACGAAATTACAGAATATCTGTGGGTAAAAACGGCTGAAATGCCATTTGGCACTTGTATGTGAACATCCTGGGGCTTTTTAGCAGGGCCAGTAGAGACAGGGTCCACTGTGTTACTCTGACTGGCTTGGAACTCTCTATGTAGCCAAGGCTACCCTTAGACTCTATGTATCTCAGCCTCCTGAGTGCTTGACTTGCAGGGTTCATTGTCACGCCCGCCTGCCGCCTTCTCTTTACCTCAGGAATGTAGTAGACATTCTCTTCAGTGTCCTGCAAGATGACTGACCCAGCAGGTAAGGGTGCTTGCTGCTAAGTCTGAGAATCTGAGTTCAGTCCAGAGATTCACATGGTGAGAGGAGAGAGCTGACTCTGCAAACTGTCCTTTGACCCCACACGTGCGCCTTGGGGCCAGTGAGAGGCTCAGTGAGCAAAGGTGCCTGCTGCCAAGGCAATGAATGGTCCTCTGCGCTCGCGCGCGCGCGCACGCACACACACACACACACACACACACACACAACTGAAGCCACATAAAAAAGAGGAATCAGCTGTGTAGGAGGATCATGGATTTGAGGCCAGCCTGGGCTACACAGTAGCCTCTAGACCAGCCTGGACTATTAACGAGAGCTGTCTCAAAGAATGAAATAAACCTCACCCTTTTACTTAGAGCAATTAGCGTAAAGGAGCTGATATCTGAGGGCTAGAGAGACGAGCCTCAGGTCGGCTGTGCATTCGTTAAGTGACCCTGCAGCCTGTACTTTCCTTCTACCAGCTACACAGGGTAAAGGAATTCCTAGGTTCTATCTAGTAATACAAGAGCTTGGAAGATTAGCAACCAGATTCCAAATTTGGAACCTTCTATTGGCTTAATATAGCAAGTACAACTTCCTGTAATTGTCTATCAAGAATCTAACTGTATCTGCCCCATGTCTCCATGTCACTCATATATATGTGTGTGTGTGTATACATATGCACATATGTACACATTTATAGATATAAATACATGTATATACATATAAGTATATATAAATAATTTACATGTAAACGTGTAAAAATATATGCATATATATTTGAGACACAGTCTATGTAACTGTGTTTGACCAGATAATAATTTGTGTTGTTTCATAACTTTATCTCCAGAATACTAATATCAATAAACACTAAAGCTAAAGAACCTGTCACTCTGTTTTTGTTTGTTACTGTTGGTGTGTGTGTGTGTGTGTGTGTGTGCACGCACGCACATTTTAGAACAAGGGTTCTCAGCAGCACACTGATGTGTTGGACCAGATGGTTCTCTTGTTGAGGGTGGCCTGATGTGCCTTGTAAGGTTTTCAGCAGCATCCTTGGCCTCTGTCCACTAGATGACAACAGTTTTCCCCCACTAAGACAATTAAAAATGTCTTTCTGGGGCCAGGCAATGTGGCATACACCTTTAATCCCAACACTTCCAAGGCAGAAGCAGGATGATCTCTATAAGCTGGAGACCAGCCTGGTCTACAGAGCAAGTTCCAAGAGAGGCTGGGCTCAACAGTAAGGCCCTGACTCAGAAAAACCAAACAAAATAAGTAAAAATTAAAATTATTTATAAAAGAAAGTTTATTGTGTATTCAATGTGTTTATTCTAAATAAGATTTACTGTCTGTTTGTTATGCTTTTAGGAACCATGATGCTAAGGTCAAATATAGTATTTGTTTTTTGGGTTTGTTTTTTAAGATTTATTTATTTATTTATTTATTTATTTATTTATTTATTTATTATGTACACAGTGTTCAGCCTCCATGTATGCCTGTAGGCCAGAAGAGGGCACCAGATCTCATTACAGATGGTTGTGAGCCACCATGTGGTTGCTGGGAATTGAACTCAGGACCTCTGGAAGAACAGTCAGTGCTCTTAACCTCTGAGCCATCTCTCCAGTCCCCAAATATAGTATTTGTATATTTACATTACTTTTCTCTCAAACATCAGAAGTTATTTCTATTGACAACAAGGAGGAGTTTTGTAATTATTTATTTATTTACTTTGGCTTTTTTGAGACGGATTTTTCAGTGTGGCCTTGACTATCCTGGAACTCTCTCTGTAGAACAGGCTGGCCTTGAACTCACAGTGTGCTGCCTCTGCCTCCTTATTACACCTAGCTTTTTTTTTTTTTAACATTTTCATTTACTTTGAATTCTTCAGGTCTGGGGAAAAGCAGGGGTGCAGGGCCTTAGTCATGCTAGGCAGCCGCTTTACTACTGAGCCATATCCACAGCCTTGCTCTACCACTGAGCTACATCCCCAACCTTCATATGAACGATCAGGAACACATGAAGGTGGAGACAGTGCCTCTTCCAGAGGTTTGGGGGCAGGGGAAGGGGTCCCAACATCTTCCTGGTGTTTTCAGTACTTGCTGTACCAGTTGCCCTGGGTTCTCTGAAGTCTAATACAGTAGAGGGACAAAGGTTCAGAAGATAAACTGTCACATGAAAGAAGGATGCCATGCTGCTATATTGCCACAAGATGGAAGTATGAAACTTCATTCATTCATTCATTCATTCTGTCTGTCTGTCTGTCTGTCTGTCTGTCTGTCTGTCTGTCTGTGTGTTCCAGTTCCATAACCCATAAGATATTAGCTAGCACCTTACTGTCTTACACCGTCAGACATTGAACAGCAAACATCACTTTGGTTTTGGTGTTGGGGGTTTGACCGCCTGGAGGATGCTGAGGGAAATGAACGCTGAAGCCAGAGGGTGCTGCTGGGCATGGTGGTCATGTCTGTGGTCCCAGAGCTTGGGAGAGAGAAGAAGTAGGATCAGAAGTTCACCGTCATCCTAGCCATGTCGCTTGGCCAGCTGAGGCTACATGACCCTGTCTCAAACCAAACAGACCAAAAAGCTGGGTCTTGTTATTTGGGATGGGGGTCTGGGTACTTAGGGGATGTCTGGTTATTTGAAGTGGGGGATGTTATACATGCCAAATTGTGTTCTACCACTGAGTCAGACCCCCAGATCGTATTACTATCTGCAAAAAAGAAGCTTGTTGTGTAAAATGGAAAAATATATATTGTAATGAAATGAAATCAGTGTGTGTGTGTGTGTGTGTGTGTGTGTGTTTGAGTGTTCATGCTACAAGTGAACCTCATGGAGTCTGCCCATAGATGTACTTTACTCCCCGATTTTAGGAGAGCAGAGGCGGGGCTGTGACTTGCCTAAGACACTTCCGTCCCCTATGCAAGACTCTCATTTTCCATCTGCCTCACCCAAACCTGATCTTCTGCCCAGACCCAGCACAAGATCTTATTAAATTCATGTATTTAGGGATTTATTTGTACTTCATGTGTATGAATGTTTGCCTGCAAGCGTGTGTGTGTACCTTGTGCATTCCTGATGTTGGCAGGGGCCAGGAGAGGGCCCTGGAGCCCCTGCAACTGGGCTTAGAGACGGTTTTGAGCATCTTCGGAGCATAGTGTACTTTGAGTACTTCTTGTTAAAATTGTCTCCTCTCAAGGCTGACAGTGAAGCTCGGTGTAGAACACAATGCTGAGCACAGACAACACCTGGATCCAGCCTCCAGCATCCCAGCCCCCAAACAAACCAACCCTACCCGCCTTGATCTCTCTAGCATTGGTCACTTCCTGTAGGTGTCCTGGCTTCCATCTCGACACCGAGTCCCTTGCACACAGGGCTGTGGTTTACACGCCGGGACTTCTCAGACTTTAATGAGCACCCAGAAGTCCTGGCAACTTGTTTGAGAGGACGATCTGATTGGGCAGATCTGGAGAGGGGCCCAGGGCTACATCAGATTCCTTCAGCAGTGGTCCCTGCTGCCAGCCCCACTCAGCACTCTCTGTTACTCCTTAGAAACCTTGCGATAGCCCACGTTTCTCTGCTTGCTGGTGCCTTTCCTTTCGGCATACTGTTAATATAACGAGAGCTGGTGATGGCCAGACAGTGCGGAGTTCTAGGGCAAAGCCTGAGCTTTGAGTTGTTCAAAGTGAGAAGCTAATATGCTGCCTGTCTGTCATCTATCTGTCTGTCTGTCTGTCTGTCCATCTATTATCTATCTATCTATCTATCTATCTATCTATCTATCTACCTACCTACCTACCTACCTACCAACCTACCTACCTACCTACCTATCCATCCATCTATCTACCTATCCATCTATCATCTATCTACTTTATCTATCATCTGTCTGAATACTATCTATCAATCATGTATCTATCATCTATCTTTTGTTTTTTTGTTTGTTTTTGTTTTTTGTTTTTCGAGACAGGGTTTCTCTGTGTAACAGTCCTGGCTGTCCTGGAATTTGCTTTGTAGATCAGGCTGGCCTCAAACTCACCAAGATCCCCATGCCTCTGTCTCCCAAGTTCAGGGTTTAAAGGTGTGTGCCACCACCACTCGCCCGCATCTATTTTTCTGTCTACATTTATCTATCATTCATTTACCTACTATCTATCAATAATTTGTCTATCATTTCTCTCTTCACGTATATCTATCTTACTATCTATCATCATGATCTCACTATGTAACCTTAACTGTCCTGGAACTCACAGAGATCCGCCTGCTGCTGCTTCCCAAGTGCTGGGACTAAAGGTGTGCACCATTATGCCAAGCACATGACATATGCAAATAAGCTGCTATATTAAGTCAGATCTGTGTTTCCAGGCTCTCAATAACCTTTTTCTTTTTCTACTTAAGACATTGGATGGTGATTCTCATCAACTCATTGCACGAGAAATGAACCTCTCTGAAACCGCGTTTGTTCGAAAACTGCAACCAACGGACAACTTCACACAAAGTAAACATACATTTAAATGTTTTGTTTTACATGTGTGTGTGTGTGCATGTACATGCACCCAAGCCTATGAGTGTACCACAGCATTTGTGTGAGGCTGGAGGACAGTTTGTAGGGCTTGGTTCTCTGGTTCAACCATGTGAGTCCTGGGGACTCAAGTCATGGGGACCTTTCCCAGCAGGGAGCAGAATTCCTGTCTACCCAGCTGACCCCTCTATGAAGATTTGCCTGCTAGCCACACTAATGGCTTAGAGAAGACGATACCAAGACATCTTTAACCTGAGTGTGTTGGTCTGATCTTGCTTTTCTTTTTCATTTGCTCCCCCAAAGGTTCCCACTTTGGACTGAGGTGGTTTACTCCAGAGAGTGAGTTCCCGCTGTGTGGTCACGCCACCCTGGCCTCTGCCGCTGTGCTGTTTCACAAAATAAGTAACGTGGACTTTGCTCGTTTATTTATTGTTGTTTGTTTGTTTTGTGGTAGGGTCTCATTTAGCTCAGGCTGGCATTAAACTTCCTGTGTAGATGTTGGTGACTTTGAAATTCTGGATTCTACTGTTTCTGCCATCCAAGAATTATAATTAATTAGTATTATAGCATGTACCACCATGGCTTAGTAATGTGAATTTCTTCCTAAAGTATATTTTATTTGCGTGAGGCTGAGGGAGTTGTATGATCAGAATGGACATGGTATATAAAGTTCTATCTAGAAAACAAAGGCTTGCTATTCTTCACATAGTGCCCACTGATCTTAAAGTCATACTTTTCTTTCTTTTTCTTTTTCTTTTTTTTGAGATAGGGTCTTCTATAATTTCTTATACACCCTAAATAGCCTTGAAGTCTGCTCTTCCTGTCTTCACTCCCAAGTATTGATATTACAGGTTTTCACTACCACAAACCATTTAAACAGTCGGGTTAAAGATGCTCCACTATCTTCTTCCCAAACCATTAGCATGGCTAGCAGCTAACCCTTTGTCGAGGGGTGAGCACAGACAGAAGAACCCTTTCTGCTCACTACGCAGAAGGTTCTGAATTAATTTCTGGTTGTTGCGTGTTCAGAAGCCGTACACTCTTTGCAATGTCCACATTCAGTTCCATGGCCTCATATGAGGTTGTGACTCACAGTTTGAGAAGGTAGACAGGGACCTTGAGCTGAAGAAGATGAAACCTGTGCACTCAGCTAGATCAGGCAGAGACGCATCCTTAGAGGCTGCAGCCCAAGCCGAACTCCTGCTGTGTGGCGTCTGTCTGTAGGTTCTAGAGGAGCCTGTGTGTGCCTGGCAGGAGATGAAGTTGCGAGTTAGCCAAGGCCTCTCCACCACAGAATCTAGTGTACTCACTATGTCCCATTGCTGTGACAGAATACGTCACAGAAGCCACTTAAGGGAGGGGAAATTCGGTTTGGCTCACATTTGAGGGTTTGAGGGCCATCATGGTGGCTTAGTCCATGATTTTTAAGAGCTTGCACTAGTAACACTAAGATTAGAGCGATCAGAGAGGAAGCAATAATCTTGGGCCAGATGCTGGTCAAGTTACAGCCCTCAAAGGCCATGGCCTTTGCAAGGATGTACTGTTAAAATCCAACCATTGCTCGGGCCACAAGACCCTACAGAAGTCCTTTCCCCTCACAGACACTGACAAGCACCTGACTGAGACAGTGTGACTTCATAAGTAACAGACTTCCTGGTGTCAGGAACTCTTATCTAAGGGAGTAATTTTATATCAAAGCTGGTCCTGGTGGCCACACATCTACACCCCCATCCCTGCCTCCTTCCTGGGACTCCAAGAGCCTAGGCTTGTGCTGAGAGGTCACCCCCATACTCAGAAAGACATAAGAGATCCCTCACTTCTGCCATGTGGGCGCTGATTTCCTCTCTTCAGAATCCCTCATGCTGTCTGTCTCCTAAGCTGGATCCTTAGTTCTGTGCAGGGCCTCTGCCATCTTGTTGCCAGCCCATAGTGTTAATAATGCTTTTAATCAACTCCTTACTGCCGACAATATGTCTTAGGGTCCCTGTTGAAAACCCCCTTCTGAGACCTTTCACCTGTGGACCAGTTCTCAAACTCTGTCTCTCCTCAAAACACTACCACGTGCTGAGGACCAAGTGTTGGGGGCATTTTCCTTTCAAATCATCAAATCCTGATCATTATGATAAAATGAATTTGTTTGTATGAGTAGGGGATAAGAATGAAGGTGAGCTTAGGGGGGATGAAACAGGCCTGTTCATCAGGAGGCTGAGAAGAGACATTAAAATTCCACAGACTTCCTAAGCTACCAGAGGGAACTCAAGGCCAGCCCAAACAACCTAGCGAAAAACCATCACAAAAAAAAAAAAAAAACAAACAAAAAAAAACAAAAAAAAAAAACCCCAACAATAAAAAAAACCAATGAGCAATGGGGAGAGACCTTAGGGGGAGATACTTTCATGTTTGACCCTCTGGGTTCAGTCTACAGACACACACACATACATATACACACCACCTCCACCACAACCACCCAGAAAACACAATCACTTTTATTTTCCTGATTCTTGCTTCCTCCTCTGTCCAGAGAACACAAACAGCACTCTCACCTTCACCACTATGAGCGGGGAGCTAAAGGCCAGAAGAGCAGAGGACGGGATTGTCTTGGACTTTCCTCTCTACCCAGCCTTCCCCCAGGTCAGCTCTTTCTGTGTTTACCTCTCATCTTAACACATACAACTGTATCCACAAACTGCGGTGAGCCGCGGCTCTCCTGTTGAGCAATGACGGCAATGACCGCGTCTCTTTTCCTCTTCTAGGACTTCCATGAGGTGGAAGACTTGATAAAGGTTGGTGGAAAGTCTCCAGTGAGAGCCCTGTGATGTGGTCGTTTGTGTTTGAAAGCTCTGGTGTGACATGACCCCATAAAATAACCTCTACCTGTGTACGCACTGTGGTAGAAGCCGCGGTGGTTTCAGGTCAGATGTTATTATTGTGTCTAACATTCATTGAGTTATAATCATTCCTCACTGGGTAGCTCAGGCTAACCTTGAACTTGCAATTCTCTTGCCTCTCAGGTACTGGGATTGCAGGTCATACAACCACAGCTGACTCATTTAACTATGAGCAATATGACCTCCACCAAGGGGCAGGAGTAAGATGGAGTGTGTAGGGAAGACAGAGAAGACCTGAAGGAGGTAGTAAGGAGGATAACAGGCGTCCTCAGCCCCTTTGGACCAAGAAGGGCTGACTTCCAGCCCGATGAAGGCAGTGTGCTTGCTGAGGATAAAGCAAATCCTAACCACAAGCCTGTCCTGAGTCCTGGAATTCCTCGAGCTTTCTAGCTCCTGCCTCTGTCTCCCATGTGCTGGCGTCAAAGGAGTGTGCCTAGCTATATTGTTTTATTGCTTTTGAGACAGAACCTCAGGATCCCAGGCTGACTTCACATTTGCTGACTGGCTGAGGCTGACCCTGAACTCTTGACATTCCTGCCTCTGAACCCTGGTTTTATGGGAACATGCTTAGTTAATGCGGTGCTGGGGACAGACCCAGCTTCTGGCATCTAGACAAACATCTAACAACGTAGTAAGCGTTGGTCCCTGAGGAGTTGTGATCTGCTTCACAGGCAGCCATAGGGGACACCCTGGTCCAGGATATCCGGTACTCTCCAGACACCAAAAACCTCATGGTCCGGCTCAGCGATTCTTACGACAGGTAAATGCTGTGTTTAACCATTCACATGCCAGCACCCAGGTGTCCAGCTCTGCTTCCACGTGATCCCCAAAGCATGATTTACCTCTTCTTTTCTTTTCTATTTTATTTTCAGTCTCCCTAATATAGCTCTGGCTGTCCTGAAAATCACTCTGTAGACCAGGCTGTCTTCAAAATCAAAGAGATCCACCTGCTTCTGCCTCCAGAGTGCTACTGAGCCATCTGGGCACTGCTCAGCCTCTTTCTATTCTGTGAAGGGGTGATCTGAAAATACTTATTCTGAACCCGTTCTGTTTGTGCTCAAGGTCCTTTCTGGAGACCCTGAGGGTGAACACAGAACCTCTGCCTCGAATGGAAAAGACAGGGAAGGTGAAAGGACTCATTCTCACTCTCAGAGGAGAGCCTGGGGGGCAGACACCCCACTATGACTTCTACTCCCGGTACTTTGCACCATGGGTTGGTGTGGCTGAAGACCCGGTAACAGGTACTCTTCCGGGATGTTCCACGTGGCCAGAGTCATCTTATTCAAAAATCGAAATAAAAGCCCAGAGAGGTTGCACAATAGTGAAAAGGTTTTGCTCAGAGCAAGACGAGAGATCAGAGAGGACACTTTGTCAAGAGTGATAGTGAGGTATGCGAGCAAACTCTTACTGAGAGGTTCAACTATTGTTTGGAGTTCGTGTATGTGTGTGTGTGTGTGTCGTCTGTCTGTCTGTCTGTCTGTCTGTCTGTCTGTCTGTCTGTCTGTCTCTCTGCCTGTGCTCATTAATGTTCAGTTTCCCCAGAGGCCAGCAGAGGGGGACGTGGCAGTTGGAGTGTTCTATGATTGTGAGCTGTTCTGTATAGGTTCTGGGAACTGAGCTCTGTCCTCTACGGGATCACCCAGTGCTCTGAACTGCTGAGCCATCTCTCCAGTCCCTGGCATCTTCTTTCATGGGGTTCAAGAGAAGAGGTGTTTGGTTACTAAGAACATAATTTGGGAGAGTCTCTTTTGATTGGCAAATACAGGTTATGTACTCCTTCCTCTCTGGGCATATTGCTTGCAATAATGCATCTAATTTTAATCATAGACACACACAATGATGCATAGGCATGAGAGGGTAATTAGGGGATTCTTCTTAAAACTTGACGTTGAGGGGGCTGGAGAGGTGGCTCAGCAGTTAAGAGCACTGACTGCTCTTCCAGAGGACCCGGGTTCAATTCCCAGCAACCACATGGCAGCTCACAACTGTCTATAAGTCCATTTCTAGGGGACCCGACCCCAGTGGCAAAACACCAGGCACATAAAATAAAAAAAAAGTTCATGTTGAGGACAGTTTGCCTTATTGCACAAGTACCCAAAACAGTCTAGGCGGATTGGCCCATTGCTTATGGCATAGAACTCAGATTGTGTTCTAGGATGTATTTGGATAGAAACAAGGGCACTCTGGGGAGTTAATTGAGGGTATTCCCATTGTTTATAACAGGTATACAGTTGCAGCTCTGAGGGGCAAGAGGGTTCGAATCTGTTAACAGCTTGCTAGGTACATGGAGAGGTGTGTGCATAGCCCAGGCTAAGTGGAGTCCTAGGTTGCTAAATTATTCCCTATGCTTCCTGGCTTCACGGAGACAAGGGAGGGCTACATAGTACTCTTCAGGTGGGGGTGGCTGATAGAGGGCGTTGCTAGGGGAAGCAGGTTCAGGGCTGAGAGGGGCTGGGCAGAGGCTCCATATGCCAAGAGTCAGGACGCTCTGGACCCTACAGTTAGACCTCGGTGAGGAACAGAACATACCAACTCGAAGCTCAGCATGTAAGCAGAGCTGAAGACTCAGGAACGTGCCCTTAGCGGCTGTGTGGTCCATGAGCCTCTCCCCAGGGCAGAGGGTCCCGGGTGGCATGCACAAACAACTGGAACAGACACCCAGTACATTTTGTGGGTGTAGAGTTTTTCTAGAATGTGAAGGTCCTAGGACCAGGAGGAATGTGCTACTGGGGTGGAGTGGACTGGGGGTCTTGGGACAAGGAAACTAGTATGAATCCCTTAATTCTTAATACACTTTTTTTGGGGAGGGATTTTCCCCCACTACACTTTGTCCCTCAAGGTTTTTAGTTACTTTGACGTTTTCTTTTCTCCCTGAGAAAGGGAATCTAGGCCTAGCTTGGCCTGTAACTAGTTGAGGATGACCTAGAACTCATGACCCTTCTGTTTCTTCCTGCAAAAGCTGAGATTACAGGTGTCAGCCACAGAACCCTGAAGACTTTGTTTACATTGTGCTTCTTCATTTTCATATGTAATTTCTGATCAGATTCTAGACGAAATCGCATGGGAAAAAACCGGTGGCACTTGGGAGGTTAGGGCAGGGAAAAAAGAAGTTCAAGACTAACCTTAGCTATGTTGGATAGCCTGGGCTACATGAGTCTGTCTTAAAAAAGAAAGCAAATGGAGAATGACCCTGCAGTTGAGCGCAGCTTCAGAGAGAGTAGAGATTTGGCAGGCGCCGTGGAAGCAGTTACTCATGTATCCTCCCCCTTCCCTCACTCCACGCTCTGCTGGGGCCCCTCGACAGGGGACCAGATGAGCTAAGGTTCGGTCAGACTGGATGAGTGGCTGTGACTGTTGATAGATTTAGAGAAATGTCGCTCCTGTGCTCACATTTGTCATTTCTTTCCAGGGTCTGCCCACACTATTCTTGGCCCCTACTGGTCTGAGGAGCTGGGGAAGAAAGAGATGCGAGGTGGGCTTAGCTCTCCCTACCCCTCCTCTCCTTATCTTTGGATGCTTGGGTGTTGAACTCGGGTCCTTCAGGTGCTCGACAAATGGGATACCATGGAGTCATAGCTCCAGCTCTTGGCTTTTTGAGACAGGGTCCTGCTGTAACTCAGGGGGGCCAGGTGTGTGCCCCTGGGCCTGAAGGGCCAGTCCCCCAGGTTCACGGAACAGGAACTCGGCTGAAGGGAGCTATGTCAGCTCATCATCAGAGCAGGGCTGTGGTCCACAAACATGAGCTCCTCCTGGGGGGGAGAACTCGGGCTCCATGACCTTGATGTGGAGAACAGGTGTTTCTCTGTCTGACTTGCTAAGCGTGGCTCTCCTGGAGGGCTGAGACTGCACCTCTCTTGGGCACCTGGCCTTGCAGTTGCTTTAACTTACAAGGAAACAAACTCCATTTGACTTTTCTGAGCTGAAAAGGAGAGGGGATCCTTCTCAGGTGGGGCAGGACCCCCTCTCTACACTTCTTAAACTACCCTTCCCCACCCCCAGCTCTTCGCACATCCTTGAGCGTTCCTGGAGGACGCTTTAGGTGGGACATAGCTGGGGCCATGCAGGAAGTAGCAGACAAGGCCCAGGAAGGGAAGGGCTGGGCACTGTGTGCACATCAGTTAAGTGTGGGCCTGTGGGCCTCTGGGCCTGCAGGAGGATGGGGTGGAGGTGGGAGGCACTATGAAAACCTGAGAAATTTATTCTGGAAACTGGCCTGGGAGGAGTTCCACGTTTGTAACAATAAATCCTTCACTGTGTTAATCACAGGGAAACACTCTTAATTGGCTCCGCTCTGTGTTCTCTTTAAGCCTTTCAGTGTTCCCGCCGAGGAGGAGAACTGGACATTTCCCTGCGACCTGATGGACGAGTTGACCTGAAGGGTGGCGCTGCTGTTGTCTTAGAGGGCACGCTGACGGTCTAGAGACTTATGCTGGGCTGTGGCCACCACTAAACACAGTGTTTTCTCTACACTACAAAACAAACCAAAAACTAAACCAACAGCAAATGCCCAGAGCTGGCTTCAGCAAACCCACTGACCAGTGCCCTCGACTCTCTCATGAAGAAGAGAAAGGAAAGAGAGTTGATGGAGGCAAGACAGCGTCTCCAGACTCCTTAACTGATGAAGGGCTCTGCCTGTGTGCATCTTCAGGAACCCACAGCGGGCAGCGATGCTGCCAATCAAAATGAAAGAGCCATTGATAAGAATGGGGATGAAATTCAGATTTGGGCGTGGGTACCCGATAGAAGATTTTACAGCTATATATATACTTTCAATTTAAAGACAGAGTCTTACAGTACAGCCCTGGTCGGGAAGAAGCTCTCTATGTAGACCAGGCTACCCTCCGGCCGACAGATATCTGCCTGCCTCTGCCTCTCGAGTGCTGGATTGATGATATGTGCTCTCGTGCCCAGACTCATACCCTTCTAATACACACATTAACTCTGTGGAAATGCAGATCGAACACTAACGAGAACAGCCTGTGAACTGTCAGGGAGGCCATACTACGGCTGTGGGGAATATGGAGTCACATGACTGTGAAGACAGCAAAGGGAAACAGTTTGGATGGGAAGATGGAGAGTAATCTTAGTGTCTCAGTGCCTCTCAGGACAAAACCCAGGAACTTCAAACAGTGAGTGTCTGATTAGATTATGTGATGACTCAAATAAACACTGAGAACAGTGTGACCTCTGGCCATTTGTCCCTCTGTGTCTTGAGAATGGTAACCAAAGTCTTCTCTTAGGGCTGGAGAGATAGCTCAGAAGTTAAGAGCTCTGACTACTCTTCCAGAGGTCCTGAGTTCAATTCCCAGCAATCAGATGCTGATTGACAACCATCTGTAATGAGATCTGGTGCCCCCTTCTGGCCTGCAGGCATACATGCAGGCAGAACACTATGTACATAACAAATAAATCTTTAAAAAAAAACTTTTCTTGTTTAATAAAGTGTGACTTAACTTAACTTTGAATTTGGTGAAATCTGTGGTAATGACTCCCCGTGGGTGACTTTGGAGTAGGATTTCCTCCTCAGGTTGACAAGATAATCTTAAACCTGGTGTTTTAAGCACGTGGGAGGGAGAGGCAAAAAGGATCTGGAGTTCAAGGCGAACTTCAACAGGGCCAATTATCAGCTAACCTGGGCCACCTGAAACCCTGTCTCAACAAAGTGTTTTGTGAAGCTGAATTCGCTACATTAATTCTCAACCACTTCAAAAGCTGCAAGCTAGCGTGGTTTGGTGGAGCACATCTACAAATCCAGCACTTGTGCTGAGGCAGGAGGATTGTGACTTGAAGAACAGCCTGGGATGCATAGTCAGATGAACTCACAAAACAGAGCAGAGCAGAGACAACTGCTCACACACCCATCCGCAGGCCAATCCGGGTTTCTAAGCATCCCACCCCCAAGCTCAGTTTACCATTTACCAGTGTTTTAAGTGATGGTGGGGCTTGAAAGCAGAGTCTTCTGCATGACAGACAAACACTACAAACTGTGGGGTCACACCCCCCAGGTCCAGCATGTAAATCCTCAGATCTTACTGGGGACCTAAAACTCAGAGAGTCAATCTCTCCTCCCACCTTTGTGGGGTTGAACCCTGGTCCAAGCTTCTATAGCAAGGGTGTTCAGTTGTTGAGACATCTCACTGTCCCCTTGTCAGGAGCCATTTTCCCCCAATCATTACAGGAACCATCATCCTGGGGAGTCTGCAGAGAACCTCACACCCATAATTATGTTCTATTGAGAAAACCTGCCCCACACCCAATTAAGCTGTTGATAGAGAGCTATCTGTTAGTGGAACACACCTCACATTCCAGCTATCCAGGGAACTAGGTGTGGCAACTTGTGACTCTTGGCCTACCTGACCAAGCTACGTGACCGGGACCACGCAGCGAGATCCAGTGCCCTGCCCCCCATTCCTTACCATATATAAACTGTAACCCGTCCCTAATAAAACGGAGGCTTTGACAAATCTGCTTGGCCTCCTTCTTCTGTCTTAGCTCATTCCCTTCCAGGTAGCACCCCTCCGTGACCCTGGAATAACTGATTGCAGGGTGGGTTACAAACCCCTAGACTGAGTAACCCACCCCAACGCAATCGACATCCCCTGAATTAACTTTTATAACTCTGCACAGCAAAGCCACTGTAGCCTCAGCTAATGGAGAAACTGAGGCAGAGGGATCACTTAAGCCCTTCTCATCTCTTAAAAACATTAGGGCCTCGGGGCCAGGGAAGGGACATGCAAGTGTTATAAAAAATGTATGCTTAGTATACCTTAGTGCCCGCGTTTAAACCTTCATACACACACACACATACACGCATGCATGCACGCATACACACACAAAAGCACAGAGACAGAGATACACACACACACCAACATGTAATTTCAGAAACTATGTAACTGACACTTCATAAACATGCAGATGTAGCTCCTGGTTACTGGTGTTCATGTATTTTTTCTCCTGGGGACCATTTAGTGAGAGTTGATGAACGAAACCAGTGAGGCTGAAGATCAGCAAACACTCAAACATAATTTTTGTATTGTTTTGTTTTTGTCGAGGGGGAGGTATCCCATTTTGGCCCTGATCTTAACGCAGTCCCCTGTTGCAGTCTCCCGACTCCTGGCATTGCAACTGAGTCTGGCTCACAAACTTCCATATTAAATCTATGAAAATCCGCTGCCAGGTCTGGAGACACAAGCCTGTAATCCCAACTATTCAGGACGCTGAGGCAAGAGAATTGCAAGTGGAAGGCCTGCCCCGGCTGCACAGACAGTTCAAGGCCAACATGAACAACTCGACGAGATCCTGACTCCATGAAACAGGCCAACAAACTGAGTGGCAGAGCCATTAGCAGTCATGAGTGAGACCTGGGCTCCATCCCAGCCATGTAGAAGGGGACCACGTGCCATTATAAGAGCTTTGTTCCTTTCTATGCTGACTTACACTATCTGATAGGGTGAAGGCAATCTACAATGACATCTTCAAAAGGGTACAGAAACAAGCTTAAGTGCCAGGCAAAACAACGATGCTACGGATGGAGACACATCCCGGAACATGGTACACTGACAAGTCCTCCTCTTTGTCTTCCAGGCTCTAATGTGCAGGCAGATGTGTGCTGAGCATGTTACCACTTAAATCATCCAGTAGATATTTGCTGTGTGCCAGATGCCCTTTTAGCAGCTAAGTAAATTCAAAAGGAGAAGGGGGAAGTTATGTGTGGCGGCATAGGACCTTATTCCCAGAACTAGGGAAGCAGAGGCAAGCGGATCTCTGAATTCAAAGCCAGCCTTAAGATCCAGGTCATAAAAAAAACATGCATAGTTAGACCCTGTTTTTTTTTTTTTTTTTTTTTTTTTTTTTTTAAAGAGGTGACTTGATGTTGTTTCCTGCTGATGAAAACCCAATGTTTGCCAGTCTGTAATGGCACACACCTTTAATCCCAGAATTCGGGAGGCAGAGGCAGGAAGATATCTGAGCTCAAGGCAAGCATGGTCTATAGAGTTCCAGGACAGCCAGGGCTACACAGGGAAACCCAGTCTCTAAAAATAAGGATGAAACAAAGCAACCATCCCCAAACAAACAAACCAACAAACAACCCAATGTTTACATTTTACCTATCAGACAAGGGCAGTAAACTTTCATAGACTATGTAAGTTGGTGAATTTTGTTATTGTTTTGAGATAGGGTCTCACTTATCCCAGGTTGACCTGGAACTCCCTGTGTAGCTGAGGATGGCTCTGAACCTTTCTCGTCCTCCTGCCTGTTTCCATGTGCTAGGATCACAGATGTGTGCCACCACGTCCTGTTTCAGGCCACTTGGTTTCGATCCAGGGCTTTGTGCATGCTAAGCCAACACTAGCAGCTGAGCTGGATCTGAAGCCTTTTCGCCTTCAAAACTGGGATGGAGGCCACAGCCCTACGCACACTAAGTGCTCACTTGCCCAACCCTGAGAGACTCTACAACGGGGATTCAGTGCAAAGACTGAAAAAGTTAGAGGATTGCTGTCTTCAAGGGGAATTATGTTGAATAATTGACTTTGTATCTGGGACCCATTAACTGTGTGCTTGTGTGTACCAGTGAAACATTAACTTTTTGACTCTTTTTTTTTTTCTTTTCTTTTTCTTAACAACAGGAAGTGAGGCAGGCTCCCAGCAAGGCAGCAACCTCGCAGACAGAACGGGGAGGAAAATGAAGCTCCCGATTTTCATAGCAGACGCGTTCACGGCAACAGCTTTCCGGGGCAATCCTGCTGCCGTCTGCCTCCTGGAAAATGTAAGTACTCACTTCTCAAGGGCTAGGCCTGAAATTCTAGATGTGTGTAGAGCCCGTGACTTCTGGAAAAGAAGTGAGGCCACCCTGAGTGCTTGCCACTTTGGCTTGTGATCTTTGTCATATTGCTGATGGTCATGTCTGCAGGTTATGACAGGAATGGCTGCACCTAGACCCAGTCAGAAGCACAGAGATTCCCACGTAGGGCAACTGGAGCCCATTAAAGAGGCAGCAGCAGGGACTGGGGCTCATGCCTGTAATGCTGATGTTCCTAGGGATCAGGCAGGAGGGTCAGCAGTGTGAGGTTACTCTGGGTTATAGAGGAGGTCCTAGACCAGCTGGGGCCACATGAAGAAACCGACCCATCTTACAAAATCAAAAATAAATAGGTATGCAAATAAATATAAAAAGTAGCAGGCAGGCTTCTGGATAGCCATCAAAGTTTAGTTTTATACTAAATATGGCTGAAAGTACATTAGTATCTGATTCTAGGGACTCTTTCTCATGGAGGTTGGGAGAGACCTTTGAGGCAAGATCTTGATTTTCCAACCCTAGCTGACCTTAAATTCCCTATGTAGCCCAAGCAATCCTCAAACTCCATCTGGCTTAGCCTCTTCCATGCTGAGCAGTTACAGGTGTGTACCACCACGCCTGCCTTTACCGTTTCCTATACCACACTTACTATTGTCCAGGGGATGTGATACTCTTCCGACCCCAGGAGCTCGGCACTCGTGTGTACAAATCCAGACACAGGCAGATTCAGTCTCTCTCTCTTGACCTCCAAAGGCTTTACACTCAAGTGTACTGGCAGGCAGACAGACAGACAGACACACACACACACATACTCTCTCTCTTAAAATAATCATCAAAAGATTTTTAAAAATCTGTTTAGGATCAAGAAAATAAGGCACTTGCAATAAATTCAGTAGAAACTAGAAGGAATTGATCTCCAGTACCTAGAAAAGTTAGGTTGCCAAAAATCTTCATCGTATAAATAGTTCTTTTGCATGAGAGCGGTGGCTCAGCAGGTATAGTTCCTTGGCACCAAGCCCAAAGACCAGAGTTCAATCCCTGGGAGTCCCAATGTGGAAGCAGAAACCTCCCCCGGCACGTGGACCTCTGACCTCACAAGTGTGCTGTGACAGACACGTGCCTCCCCAGATAAATGAACTAGTTGAATTTATATTAGAAATTTATAGGCTTTTGTCAGGCATTGGGGGCACATGCCTTTAATCTCAGCACTTGGGAGGCAGAGGTAGGAGGATCTCTGTGAGTTGGAGGCCAGCCTAGTCTACAAGGGCTAGTTCCAGGACAGTTAGGACTGTTACACAGAGAAACTCTTGTCTGGAAACAAACAAACAAAAAGAAGAACTATATCTGGTGCCCTCTTCTGGTGTGCAGGCATACAAGCAGGCAAAATGCTGTATACATAATAAATAAATCTTAAAAAAATAAATAAGAATAAAAATGTAAATTTAGAGGAAAAACAGTAGGCAGTGACACATACCTAAAAATCTCTTCACTTAGGAGACTGAGGAAGAGGATTTGAGTTTACGTGTATGGCGATAACCTGGGCTACGCAGTGAGTCGCAGGACAGCTTGGGCCCTCTAATAAGACCCTGTCTCAAGAAAAGCATAAAGCAAACCAGGCCTGGATGTGCAGTACCCCCAATCCTAGCTTCTCAAGAGGCTGAGGTAGAAGAATGACAAATTGAAGACCCCCCCCCCCCCCGGGCATCTTAGAACTTGTCTACAAAGAAAAAGCAATTAATCAGTCAATTGATTAGAAATGGCCACAGCGCAGTGATAGAGCTGCTTGCCCAGCACGTAGGAAACCCTGGGGTTGATTCCCTGCACCGAGGAGCCTGGCCCCACACTCACTTGTGATTCTCCATAGGAGCTGGACGCCAGGGTATCTGAAAAACTGTCTGCACAAACATGCCTCCCAATCCTCGGATGTAACTAGAAGTTCATAAGTCAAGGGGTAAACTGCCCTGTTAACTAATGGTAGTTGGTCGAGCAAGGAAGTCTGAGTTGTGCTTCCAGAGTCTCCATAACCTGTTGTTCCTAATTAAGGCTCTGGCTGAAGACGCCCATCAACAGATCGCAAGGGAAATGAACCTCTCCGAAACGGCTTTCGTCAGGAAACTGCAACCAAGCGACAACTTCACACAAAGTAAATGGACACTTTTCGTAGGTTCCTGGGCGGCCATGGAAGCCGAGTCTCGGGAGGGAGGTTTAAGGAGATGTTTATATGTTATCTGCTGGCAGATAGCTAGTGTGGGTTTTAGCTCATCTAGGAGAAGCTGTGTTGAAGTTCAGTCTCAGTTTATAATGTAAGGTTTCCTGAGGTCATATATTGGAAAAAATGGGTCCCCGGGGTAGCATATTGGTAGGTGGGTCCTGATGGGAGACAGTGGAACAATGGCATCTTTGTGAGGGCGGGTTGGTATCTCAGGAGTGGGCTTCTGGTACACGGGTGTTTGGCGCCCTCGTGTGTCGATGCGGTAACAGGACACTCAGTAGGTGGCAGCCCCTAGACCTTCAACCTCCAAGCCATGGGGCTATTACAGATATTTCCTCAAAGAGTCACCCATCACGTGGAGTTCTGCTATAGCACCCCGAATGGACTAAGAGGGTGTTGGAGAATCTACTGTCTCGGCTCCAAACCTAGCCGCGGGGAGCCTGTGGATGTCTGTCCAGTCCGCGTTTGTCCTTTGCCAACGGTTTGCTGTTAACCACACCAGTGAGAGACTTAGAAGATGCCGGAAGCTTAAGACTTGCTTCTGTGGGTTAACTTGTGTCTCTTTGGCTCTCCCTCCTCTGAAGGTTCCCACTTTGGACTGAGGTGGTTTACACCAGAGAGTGAGGTTCCTCTGTGTGGTCATGCCACCCTGGCCTCTGCGGCTGTGCTGTTTCACAAGATAAGTAATGTGAATTTTATTTTATGTATGCTTGTATGTATGCATGTATATATGTTGGTTCTGGCTTTTTTCCCCTGAGCTAGGTAGTCCTGACTGTCTTGGAACTCACTCTGTAGACCAGGCTGGTCACAAACAGAGATCCTCTTGCCTCTACTTCCCAGTGCTGCTGTGGGGACACATAAAGTATGTGTCCCCACAGCAGGCTCCCATATGTATATATATTTTTGAGATAGTTATTTATGTATTCCAGGCTTGCCCTGGGTTCTCTATGTAACTATGGAGGATCCTGTGCTCTTGATCTTCCTGTCTCCATATTCCAGTGCTAGGATCCCACGTATGCACCACCAGCACTCTAGAGGTGGGAGCAGGTGGCTCTTTGTGAGTTCAAAACCAGCCTGGCATATGTAGGAAGTCCCAGGCTCATGGGGGTTCCATAGTTAAGGTCTTGCCTTGAAAAACAAAATAGAAAATCTTTTTTTAAAAAAAAAAAAGGGCTGGAGAGATGGCTCAGTGGTTAAGAGCATTGCCTGCCCTCCCAAAGGTCCTGAGTTCAATTCCCAGCAACCACATGGTGGCTCACAACCATCTGTAATGAGGTCTGGTGCCCTCTTCTGGCCTACAGAAATACACACAGACAGAATATTGTATACATAATAAATAAATAAATAAATATTTAAAAAAAAAACATTTAAAAATAGGCTGATACTATAGCTCGGTGTTAGGTCACTTGCCCTGAATCTGTGTGGTGCTAGACTCAGTCCCTAGCACTGGGGTTAGGGAAGTCCCCTGTACCGAGCTTATTTTCCTGATTCTTGCTTCCTCCTCTGTCCAGAGAACACAAACAGCACTCTCACCTTCACCACTATGAGCGGGGAGCTAAAGGCCAGAAGAGCAGAGGACGGGATTGTCTTGGACTTTCCTCTCTACCCAGCCTTCCCCCAGGTCAGCTCTTTCTGTGTTTACCTCTCATCTTAACACATACAACTGTATCCACAAACTGCGGTGAGCCGCGGCTCTCCTGTTGAGCAATGACGGCAATGACCGCGTCTCTTTTCCTCTTCTAGGACTTCCATGAGGTGGAAGACTTGATAAAGGTTGGTGGAAAGTCTCCAGTGAGAGCCCTGTGATGTGGTCGTTTGTGTTGGAAAGCTCTGGTGTGATGTCACTTACTGCTCTAATTGGCGGTGTGAGCCTGGGAGAGCAGGGCCTAAAAATGAGATGGACTAAAGTCTCAGGCAATAGCCAACTTTTGTTTTGGTTTGGTTTTTGAGATAGGCTTCTCTGTGTAACTTTGGAGCCTGTCCTGGAACTCGCTCTGTAGACAAGGCTGGCCTCAAACCAGAGATCCGCCAGTCTGCCTCCCTACTGCTAGGATTAAAGGTATGTACCACCACTGCCTGGCAATTCTGTGTTTTTGAAGAAACTGAGGTCTCAAGACTCTTGTCTTGTTTTCTTGGAGTATTCACACAAGCACTCAGAATTCCCCTCACACGGCTCCATTCGTGGACTGTGTTCCAACATAATGGGATCCCAAATTGGGTCGCCTGCCAGTTGGAGTCATTGCAGTGGAAGCCTAGGTGATTTCAGATTAGAATGTTAGTATTGTGTTTATTTGGTAAGACTGATCACTTCCATTGAATTGTAATGACTGTGTAGCCCAGGCTAGCCTTGAACTTGCAATTCTCTTGCCTATCAAGTGCTGGCTGGGATTACATGTTCATGCCATCATATCCAACTCATTTAACTGTGAGCAATAAGACCTCCATAGAGGGGCAGGAGTAAGAAAGAGTGTTTGGGGAGAGGGGAGAGGGGAGAGGGGAGAGAGAGAGAGAGAACTGAAGGAGGCAGTGAAGATGGTATCAGGCATCCTCAGCCCCCTCGAACAATGAAAGGTTGAATTTCTGTTTATTGCCACCTGGGGTGACTGTGCCCATCCAAGTTCAAGTAGGAGAGATGAGAATTTTCTTCTTCTAAAAATCCTTTACAAGTTCATACCTGTGTACAGCAAATTTAGTCTTTTTTATTTCCCCTAACCCTCCTCCTTCTCCCACTGAAACATTTCTTCCCAACCATTTCCCTACCTCTCACACCTGTGTGTGTCCCTGTGTGTGTGTGTGTGTCTATCTGTGTATGTGTCTGTGTATGTGGGTGTGTCTCTGTGTGTGTCTATATGTGTCTGTGTATGTGGGTGTGTCTCTGTGTGTGTCTATATGTGTCTGTGTCTGTGTGTGTATCTCTGTGTGTGTGTTTCCCAATGAGTTTAAAAAGAGTTCCTTATGTGAGCACTGGGTCGTAGTGGGTGTTATTTACTGGAATCTGGGCAGTGGGTATGACCACTGACAAAATGACACCCCTTCTTCAGTTGCTGTTATCTGCCAATAGTCAGTCAGGGAGGCTGTGGACCTCATGAGCTCCTCCCTCATCCATGATGAAATGTTGAGCAGTCTGATGTTGTGCTGATAGCCATAGCTGCTGTGATTTCATGAGCCCACGAGTACAGTGGCCATATCATGTCTAGACACACACATACACACACACACACACACACACACACACATTGGCAACACTCTTCCCACCTCCCCCCTCATTGTGCTCTCTGAACCTTCAGAGCAGATAATAATAGATGTCCCAGTTAGGACCTCAAAAGCCACTGACCATCAGCTTTGGACCGGTGAACGAGTCCCTGCATTAAGCACTACTTACTGTGAACCTAAGCTCCTCTGACAAAGGCTGAGAAAAGCACAACGCTAACCTATAGATATAAACACAAGTACTCAGAAGGTTGTGTGACTCGTGGCCATTTACCAAAACCACAGTAGTAGGTCCCCTCTTAGGGGGACCTTCCCAGCCATGGGCACTTAACACGGTGCACAGTGTGAGACATGAGCTCCATCCTGCAAGAAGGCCTGTGGGTCTATAGGATGTGAGCCCTGTCTTGAAAAACAAAAACACAGATTGTGGGGCTCGTACTCGGGTACTCATGATTGCAAAGCAGGCACTTTGCCCACTGAGCTCTCTCCGGCTTGATCATGAACCTCTCATCGCTTTGCATGGTTTGTGCGGTGCCATGGCTCCATGCCTGCTAGGCACGAGATTGGAGATCTGGGGACGGCTTGAAGGAGTGTGTTCTCTCCTGCCATTTGAGTCTGGGTGACTGAAGTCAGGTTATGAAGCCTGGCAGCGAGCACCTTTACTCATCAAACCATCTTGCTGGCCCTCTAAGGCATGCTCGATCTGTTCCACAGACAGCCATAGGTGACACCGTGGTCCAGGATATCCGGTACTCTCCAGATACTCGAAAACTCCTGCTCCGGCTCAGCGATTCTTACGACAGGTAAATGCCGCGTTTAACCACTCACATGCCAGCACCCAGATTCCCAGCTCTGCTTCAGTCAGGCTGTGTTGTCTCCAGTACATGACTGACCTTTCTTTTGAGACAGGGTCTCCCTATATAGCTCTGGTTGTCCTGGAAATTGCTCTGTAGACCAGACTGACCTTAAACTCACAGAGATCCACCTGCCTCTGCCACCAGAGAGAGATTACAGGCCTCTACCATCATGCCCGGTCCAACCACTTTCTTTTCCATAGGTCGATGTCAAAGGCAGGCTCTCCCTTCCCTCTGCTGAGCCATCTGGGCACCGCTCAACCTCTTTCTATTCTGTGAAGGGGTGATCTGAAAATACTTATTCCGAACCCGTTCTGTTTGTGCTCAAGGTCCTTTCTGGAGACCCTGAGGGTGAACACAGAACCTCTGCCTCGAATGGAAAAGACAGGGAAGGTGAAAGGACTCATTCTCACTCTCAGGGGAGAGCCTGGGGGGCAGACACCCCACTATGACTTCTACTCCCGGTACTTTGCACCGTGGATTGGTTTGCCTGAAGACCCAGTAACAGGTACTCTTCACTTACAATCACACAACTGACTAAGGAGCTAATCTTGGTCTATTGAAAGCTTGCCCACCACACTGAACAACGGCAAACCCTGGTGAAAGGAACGCTCTTTCTGTCGCACACGGCCTACAAGGCTGACCCTGTGTCTGGCTTCCTTTGCTACCGTATGTGCTGTAGAAGGAAGACGCTATGTTCCCTGAAAATTATAGAAAGATGTATACGAAGGTCTTGAATTTCCTATCGAGAGCTGACAATGCTCCCAGAGAGGTGACTGAGTTGTTAAGAGCAGATGCTGCTCTCACAGAGAACCCGAGTTCAATTCCCAGAGTTCATGTTAGGTGGCTCCCCACTGCCTCTAACTCCAGCTCCAGGAGAAAGAACTGACAAGGAGTGGTAGAGCCAAATGAAAGACCAAAGCCAGGTATGTAGTACACACCTGTAATCCCAGCCCTTGGGAAGCAGAGGCAGAAGGAGCAGAAGTTCAAGAGCAGCCTCAGCTACATAGAGAGTTCCAGCCAGCTCAAGCTCCATGGAACCTGTGTCTAGAAACAAGCAAGCAAATCCCCAGAGTCTAATCCTTCAGAAACAGTAAGACATAGATGGTAGACAAGTTGGGAAAGCTGATTCCTAAACCCTGTCTTCCTATCCTTACTGCATACTCTGCTGTGGCCCGGCCCGGTTGAGTTTAGAATTAGATCATCTAAGGTTTAGTCAAACTGGCTAGGTGATTTATCACTTAACACAATGGGGACACACGCTTCCATTTTCTTTGCCTGTTCTCATAGCATCTTACTTTTCAGGAGCTGCGCACACCGTTCTGAGCAGTTACTGGTCCCAGCAGCTTGGGAAGAGAGAGATGCGAGGTAGGACGGTCGCTTCCCTCTCTCCTCCTCGTTGGGTGCCTGGGTGTTAAACTCAGGGCTTTGCAAATACTCGACCGTAGAGTCATAGTCCCATCCCTTAACTATTTGGGACAGGGTCTTGCTATGTAGACCAGGCTGGCCTCCAGTTTGCACAGACCCCCTAAGGGCTGGGATTGCATAATACTATGCCCAGCGCAAATTCCTCATTGGCCTCATTTTGGCCACTATCTATTCTCACGTGCACTAGCTCCTTAAAAATGTAATAAGAGCTGAACTGGTTGGTGGTGGTGCACGCCTTTAATCCCAGAGGCAGAGACAGTCGGATATCTGACTTTGAGACCAGCTTGGCCTGTGGAGTTAGTTCCTGGACAGCCAGGGTTACACAGGAAAACCCTGTCTCAATAAATAAATAAACAAACAAATAAATGAAAGGCAGATCTTATATTATTCCTCACGTGAAATATTCCTGAATCATCTTCCCTTCAGCGGCCCCTCCACTCCCAGCCCTCTCCAGCCCTGCGTCCCCAAACACAGGTATTTCTAATACAGTAAGCACGCTTGATGCGTGTAATTAGCTTGCTAAGTAACTCCTGAGATCGACGATCCCTTTTCTCTATCCCGGGTGAGTATAATGTCTTCCTGAGCTCCTAGAAATCTGAGGTCATGCCTTTTGTGGGCCTGGCACATACGATTGCTTTAATATGTTATGAGAAAACAAACTCCCTCTGTTTAATTCAGAGCTGAGGTGGGCTCACTAAAAGGCCCAGGAAGGAAAGGACTGGGTAGCGTGCGCACATCAGTTGCACATGTGCCTGTGTCTGCAGGAGAATGGTGGGAGGCACTATGGACACGTGAAGGAATTTATTCTGGAAACTGGCCTGGGAGGAGTTCCACGTTTGTAACAATAAATCCTTCAGTGTGTTATAATCACCGGGAAACATTCTTAATTGGACCACTCTGTGTTCTCTTTAAGCCTTTCAGTGTTCCCGCCGAGGAGGAGAACTGGATATTTCCCTGCGACCTGATGGACGAGTTGACCTGAAGGGTGGCGCTGCTGTTGTCTTAGAGGGCACGCTGACGGTCTAGAGACACTTATATGCACTTATGCTGGGCTGTGGCCATGGCTAAACACAAGTGTTTTCTCACTACCAATAAAACCAAAGCAAACCAACAACAAATGCCCAGAGCTGGCTTCAGCCAGTCCAATGACCAGTGCCCTCGACAGTGGAGAACAGAAAGGGAAGCCATTTGATAGAGGCAGGACAGCATCTCCAGGCTCCTTAGCTGATGAAGGGCTCTGCCTGTGTGCATCTTCAGGAACCCCCAGCAGGCAGCGATGCTGCCACTTCTTTTGATCATGACTGCCAATCAAAGAGAGGTCCAGTCAGGTGGTGGCGGCACACGCCTTTAATCCCAGCATTTGGGAGGCAGAGGCAGGACAGCCAGAGCCACACACAGAGAAACCCTCTCTCGAAAAACCAGAAAAAGAAAAAGAAAAGCCATCCTGTGATAAGGAGCTAGGTGAGGCCATTTAAATTTAGGCACAGGTACCTAACAGAGTATCTCATAGACATTCAGAAGAATTCAGAAGAGTTAATAGCTCAGTGGAAAAGCAGTGTTGCTAAAATCCTTTCCCTGTGGTCCACATAAACATTTCCTCCTCATTCCCTAAGTTTCCAAAGATAAACTGAGGTACAACTCCATCAATTCTCCCAGGGCACCAGTGAGCTATTGGCATTACTTCCAGAGCACAAGCGAGGGGTTACTTACAGAGTGTGGGTGTGGCCTCCTGAAATGTGACCCCGGAAAAAGCTTTGTCGGGCGATGACGATGACTGTCCTGTAGCGGCAGAGATGGAATCCTCCGGGCCTCAGTCGTTGCTGGCCTGTACCTCTCAGCCCCTTACTGGGGCCACGTGCTAGAGCATTGCTTATCACAGGTGGGAGGGAGTGGCCAGATCCTCAGGTGAGGGTCATGTGACCTCCCCAGCCCTGCTGGGAGGGGAGGGAACAATTCACTGGCCCAGCTGGGATGAGCCTTTGCAAGTGGGCACAGCTGACCTCCTGAAGATTGCAGTTGGTTGGCTCAGAGTACCATCTCACGATGTAACCATGCTAGGAAAGGAAACGCGGGGAGACCGAGAACTGTTAGGGAGGTTGGCCTATGATTGGTGGGGTGTTTGGATTTGTGTAGGCTGTGAGGATAGCAAAATGGAACAGTTCATTTTGGGGGACAATGTAAAGGAATTTCAGTGTAGCTAAAAAACACAGACAAAAAAAATAACAACAAAAAAAAACCACAATGATTTTGGGGCTAGCAAGACGGCTGAGTGAATGAAGCGCTTGTCATCAAGGTTGACAACCTGAATTTGACTTCTGGGAGACCCAGAAATAGAAAGAGAACACACTCTGCATGTTTTCCTCTGACTCACATACACATAGGTGCTGTAGCGTGGACACGCCCACACATATACGTGCATATACAAAATAAGCAAATAAATGTAATAAAAATAATTTTCTCCATTTTTTTTTTTTGGTCAGGCAAAACTCAGAAAATGAATAGAAGAAAGGATGTATTAGGTGGACTTGGGGCTTGGTGGGTAAAAGACGTGCCTGGCAAGCATTATGGTCGAGTTTGGGTCCCTGTAATCCACGTGAAAGATGGATGCAGTGAAGAGCTGCTGTATTCCCGACACACCTCAGTCAGGATGGGCGAATCCACCCCTACCCTTATCCTTCCATCCCCACTGTCTCCTCCACCTACCTAGAAACTCACAGACCAACTGTACACATATACACAGCACAGTGACAAACACTTAGAGAGACTCGGCCTCAAGCGAGGTAGCAAGTAAGAACTAGGAGTACGGGGATTTGCTACCATCCTGCCAGGCACCACGGCACACACCTGTAAAGCTGGCACTAGGGAGGGGAAGGCAGGCCGATCAGAATTTCAAGGCCAGCGGCAGCTATCTCTCTAGCCAATGAATTTGAAGCCAGCATGAGTTCTCTGAGATCCTACTTCAAAAACCCAAAACTACAGCAAACCTGTTAGACTCTATAGAAAGGACTTGGGAACCCCAGCAATTGTAAGTCGGGTTCCCTGAGCAGGGGTCCTCCATCAGCATCAGGACCATATGGGAACTTGCTAGAAAAGCAAAATCCCCAGCCCTCTTCTGGACCACCTGTGTCTGGAGCTCTGGGGACTAGGGCTGGTACATTGAGCTTTAACAATCAATCCCTCCAGGCGATGGGTTGGTGTGAGACCTGCCCTGGACTCGGGCTTCCAGATGTGGCGGCCCTTTCCATCACTCTCTGGACAATCGCCTAAGCGGCTCGATGGCATTTAAAGGTGACAACTCAGATGCTCCCCTCTGTACCAATGCACTTGCTGCTTAACAGTGCACTTTTGCACGGGTTGGCTTTGTGTGAGCGTCCGGCCCTGTCCGGTAGAGAAAAATTAGCTGTGTTCAGGTGGGAGCTGTTCCGTAATGTGCTAGTAGCAAACAGATTAGTTAATCAGCCATGATTTATTCATGACGAATTAATTATGCCTGGTTGTGCACTTCTGATAGCTAAATGGAGCTGTAAAGGCGTTATTTTATTAATTGTCCTGGTGCTAATTGCAGACACAGAAGGATCACTAATTAAGCATGCAAGCTGTATGCAGGACAAGTTGGGTTGCTGAGGCCACAAAAAACAAACAAAACAACTCACCATTTTTTTTAAAAAGGGGGGAACCAAAACAAACTTTATTTTGTGCAACATTGACGAGTTCTCTTGGCTTTATTAATTAATCACAGGATTGCCTTTCAGCAGGAATTGGCTCCATACATCAATGTACAGTGCTCTCTGGTTAGTCCTTATTAAGGGGGGCACGTTGTTTGGTCACATGCTACTGTCTGTTTATACTTCCGTCTGTTGGCGATGATTACCCTGGTTTGCAGTTTGGGGCTTTGCATGAAATTGGTATGAACAGGGGGCTGGAGAGATGGCTCAGTGGTTAAGAGTGTGTCTGTGCAACCCTGAGAAATGGGATTTGGATCCCAGCACTCATGTAACAGACTGGGGGGGGGGTCCCAGAAATAACCGTAACTCCAGCTCTGAGGGGGGCGGCTGGAGAGATAGCTCAGTGGTTAAGAGCATTGACTGTTCTTCCAGAGGACCTGAGTTCAATTCCCAGCAACCACATGGTGGCTCACAACCATCTGTAATGAGATCTGGCATCCTCTTCTGGCCTGCAGGCATACATGGAGGCAGAACGTTGTATACATAATAAATAAAATCTTTAAAAAAAAACATTTATTTAAAAAAAAAAAACCTCCAGCTCTGAGGGATCCAACATGCTCTTCTGGCCTCTGCCTGCGCAGGGATATGCAACCCCACATGTACACAGACACATAACTAAGTAAAAATCAATCTTGAAGAAGCAGTATGCTTGTCTTTGTCTTTTCTAGACTCCCACACGCTTTACCGAGGCACCACCCCTTAGAATGGAATTACGGAGCAGTGGCTTTAACCTGTGTAATAGAGACACTGTCAAGTGGCTCCCTAAGGTAGGCGAAAGGGCTGGATGTGTAGCTCAGTTGTTGGAGGGCTGTAGCACAAATTCTAATTGGTGTTAATAATAAAAACCCAGAGTCTCTACCAGGGCGTGAAAGCTGAGAGATCAGAGAGTCAGTGCAGTCAGCCACTAGAGAGACTTTTGACCTCTACCAAATCCTCAGACTGAAGGGACAATTCTATCTTTACCAGTTCTCAGATTGCCATCCTTGCCAGCAGCTGCCCACAGTGAGTCTCTGCCTACTCGGCTTCACCAGCCTGTTTCCTCTCTTTGCGCCAGCATGCTGTACAGTTACTGTAACTCCACAGCGCCTGTGCTGTGAGATATCATGAAAATACATAAATTAACTAGATAAACAAAATTAAAATAGTTAACAGTAAGGGCTGCTGCGACGGCCCCGCAGGGAAGGCACCTCTACTGTGAGGTAGCTCAGGAGAGTTCAGTCTGCCGTGAAGGCTCCTGGTAGAAGCTGTTCACACTTGAGTGTGAAAAGCTCTTGAAAATCATGTTGGAAATTTGCTTTAGATCACACAGAACTTAGAGATCAGTGTGGAGGACGCGAAGATTGTAGCCATATTTTGTCAAGGGTTAGTCTTCCCTTTGCGTGTCTTTTTTCACTCACCGTAGCAACATGTACTTTTAGTATGAGTCTAACATAACTCTCACTAGCTTTATTCCCAGGTTTATGGCTGTCCTGGAACCTACTCTGTAGACCAGGCTGGCCTCGAACTCACAGAGGTCAACATGGGCCTTGCCTCCCAAGTGCTGTGATTAAAGGCCTGTACAAGACAGGTTTATATTTTTTTTTTAAAGATTTTATTTATTTATTATGTACATAGTGTTTCCTTGCATGTTTGCCCACAGGCCAGAAGAGGGCACCAGACCTCATTACAGATGGTTGTGAGCCACCATGTGGTTGTGGGAATTGAACTCAGGACCTCTGGATGAACAGTCAGTGCTCTTAACCTCTGAGCCATCTCTCCAGCCCAGGTTTATATTTTTTAAACATTATAATGGACGTTATTTTAGCGAGGGATGTAACTCCATTGGTACAGTGCTCAGTGTATGCAGGGTGTACAGTGCTGAGCATATGCAGGGCGTTCAGATAAACCAGGCACGACAGCTCAAGCCCTGCACCCCAGCTCTGGAGAGGCAGAAGCAGAAGGAGCAGAGGCTCAAGGTTATCTTTGAGTATGTGAGTCCGAGGTCAGCTTGAGATCCATGAGACCTCATCTCAAAAATTAAAGTAAATGAATCAACAAAAGGACCGGTGAGCTAACTCGGCAGATAAAGGCGTTTGCCACCAAACCTGGCCATCTAAGGTTAATCCCCAGGACCCACATGGCAGAAGGACAGAACTGATTGCCACTTATTCTCAGACCTCCACGCCTGCTCTATGGCACCAGACCACAGAAACACAGGCTAGATAAATAATAAAAATCAGGTGTACTCGTGAGGATTTGTGTAGGGGTATGTGCACACGAGCCCAGAAAGAAGTCTCCATAGCTCATAACTCTGGTATCCTTCGAGGCCACAACTAGCATCATGTGGACAGTGACGAGGTCTCCCGCTAGCTGAGCTCCTTCTATGAGAGCGGCAGCCTCTAAGTGCTGGGTAC